AACAAGTAAAAAGTCAAACATTTTCCCAGCAACGAAACTGAGTTACTGCGGTGCGTTGGGCTGGCGCACCAAGCCATTTGCGTAGCACTGCGCCAACTCCTAAAAATTAACTGAGTTACCCAGGCCTAATCCAGTGCACCTGGTGCAACTGGCGTGCATTCTGTGCTTGAGCATGCCAGAGTAAAAAACGTCCCCCAAAATTTATCAGAATTTATTTCGTCTCGAAAATTATAATGGAAAAACTCAGATAGAACATCTCTGAGTAAAACTAATAAAATTTCAATCTTACCTTTCGGGTACTGGTCGATTTGAGTTCGGGCTGCAGCGCCATATTGCTGAACGGCACCTCCATCGAGTACTTGATCGAGTGGAGCAGCTGCACTACCACATTGCTGACATTCTTGAAGCTGAGCTTCCGTCGCTGAGCAGCGCCGAGGGCGGACCGCACCTGGAGCGTGTTGAACAACAGTGGCTGGAAGAACGGCAAAGGAGGCCAGGGTTCGGGGTTAGTCACCAGGGGTTAGTTGCAAGTGTGTGGGTTTTGTGAGTGTTGTGTGTAAGGTTGGATCAAATTAAAAACTTTCTCGGAAAGTAGAAGTTTTTCCTCGTTTGGTTAAGCGAATTCAATCCGAGCCAATCATCTGAGGATCGTTGGCATCGCTTTTAAAAACCAAAACCCGATCAGAGGAATCGTCTCAATATCGAACAGGCAAATAAACCGACATGGTTCAGGTCGCGGTTTACGAGTGAAAATTCATCATAATAAATGTCTGGATGTTCAGAAGAAGTGCTATTTGAAAAGCGCATAAATTCTAGTATTTATTTAAAATGCAAATAAACCATTGGTGATTTGGCACTGTTTATTGTAAGCCATCAGATTGAGCAAACAAATATTAAAGCAAGATGCTTTGGAACTTTGGAATGGAGGATCAGCTTTCGATGTAACTCTATTGGAACATGCTTATTTGACTTGCTGGCTGTTTTCTTTTGATTAACTTCCCAAACATTTCGCTGGTAAAAAAACTGGCTCCTAGGGAGCTGAACCGCGATTTTTGCTTGAAAATAAGATTTAAATCCAGTTGGAAATCACACCGAACAATCGATAACTTGGGAAAATTGCGCTCGTAAAACTGGCGTTATATTTATTAAATTACGGCAGTTTATAAACCTGGACATCGTAATCCGAAGTAGATGTCAGCTCGGGACGCGATAAACGGAGGCATCAAAAGTTTATTATTTGTCCACTTTCAGTGTCAGCTAATGATAATTGCAGCATTTTTTAAATGATTGCGATTTCTGGTTTGCGTTTCGGAGTTGTTTGCGTCTTTCTTTTCTCTTTCGTTATTATTTCCTCACTTTATTCGATTGACTGATTGTTTTCAGTAGTGTTCCTGTTTCTCGCTTGTTCTTTAACCAAGGGCGGATCCAGGGGGGGGATCCAAAACTATTCGAATTTCCTCACTCACGTTGTTACGACTGAATCGACTTTTCCATTCTCTATCCAACGATGCCAAAACGAATTCTGTAACTCGAATGGTTCTTGAGAAACTTCTAAAAAAGCAGCGCCATGTTCAAGTGGATTTTGCAACTAAAAAAAAACCCACGCAAATCTAAAACTTCTTGACTTCAAGCATTTTTTGAGAAAACTGCCAACAATTTCCCATCCATGGATTACTTTCTAAAAAGGCCATTTATTTCTCTTTAGAATGACGTACAAATAAGCGTTCTTGCTCATTTTGCCTCCGAGAAATGAGCAAAAACGGGACGAAAAGCATGAAATTTTGGCATAATCTTGCACCTAAGTGTCTGATATTCAAATTTCGCTTTCTGGGTCAAAACTATTCGAATTTCCTCACTCACGTTGTTA